AATTCCCCAGCCAGCATGCTGGCTGGGGAATTCTGGGAGTGGAAGTCCACCCATCTTAAAGCTGCTGAGGCTGAGAAACACTGCTCTAATGCAATGTGCAGGAAGACCAATTAAACCATCCATGGGAGATGGCTGTCCAGCCTCTTTTTAAAACCCTCCAGAGATGGAGAACCCACCACTTCCATAGGGAGACTTCCACTGTAACACAGATCTTACCACCAGGAAGTGCTTTCCCTTATATTGAAATAAAATCTAGGAACGGGCAGCCGGAAGAGATGAGCAATGCAGTATTGGTCCCAGTAGGTCCCATGAAGCTCTCACATGGAGAAGCAGCGTACCTGACTGAAAAATGAAAGGGGAGGCCCGCTACCTCCATGCCCCATTTTGGGGGGCTAGCCAGAGGCATCTTGCAAACCATTAAAAAAAAAAACACAGGAATTTGGGCTGTAATGGTATGTGGAAATGACCTTGGGAGACAGGGGGAAGAGCCACAGGGAGGGGAATGGTTGGATAAGCGGCAGCTGAGCCCACAGAAGGAATGGAGGTGAGGCAATCGTCTCAGAAGGGACCCTCCCTATTTTCTTGGACTGTAAAGGCTACAGGGGAGAATTGTACTTTCAGCCTTGCAAGATTCTGTTAATGTAACCTTACAATAAAGTAGAATTAGTTCATCTGGGCGTGCTTCCTGTCTGGACTACTTCGCAAGGCTGGCAAGCCCATTCTGCAGCCACCTTCCCGTTGCAGACCGTTTCTGTGATTCTGCTCCTCCAAACATACGCACGTTGAGTGCACACTTGCACATACACACACACACACACCCCCCCAGAGGAAGCAAATCTTGCCTCATCAAGATTGTAGCAATTCTAGGAGAAATGGTAGAAAACCTTTTGCAAAACATCCAGTTTCCAAACGGTATGCCGTTTAAAGGTGCCAGGGTGGGACAGCGGGTGGGGGGAGTTAGATTGCAGGAAACTTTGTGCCAATTCCCCCCATGGGGTCTTCATGCTGTGTCCCCCCACTTAAATATTTTGGATAATTATGACCTCCTGATTTTTCAGCTAAGGTTCGATCAGTGTTTCTCAACCTTGGCAATGTTAAGATGGGTGGACTTCAATTCCCAGAATTCCCCAGCCAGCATGGCTGAACAGAATTCCCCAGCCAGCATGGC